TAATCGCGATTATTAAGTTGGAGTCGTTATCGGAGTACTCCGCGGTGATCGCACGACGTTTTTTAAGTTGTTTGTTTCGCGCCGGAGACACGTGTACAGATTATAACGAAGAATCGGACGATCATCATGTTACAATATATCGTTGCCGGCAGAGCAAGCGTTATTTCTGTCAAATAAATGCGGGAGTGATATTGCAGCATCACGAAGAAATGGTGTGCGTCAAGTTGCCGTGGCGTCTTCATAGTTGGCCATCGGACGGAACGCGTCGCGTGCTGGACTAATAAATAGCAAACGATCGTTTTTTCGCGTGTTGTTTGCTCGTTCTAAACACATCTCGTGCGTAATAAATATTGGCAGCGCAGCGCGTGTGTGATTTTCATCAAGAGTGCAAATGATACCGCAACATTACGAAGAAACGGTCTGCGTATTAGTATAAAGTTGCCGCGGCGTCTTCGTAATTATTCGGCCGGAACACGCAATTGTCGAGGATTGTCAAAGTGATGAACGATGAAAAAACATTAATTAACGCGCGGGATCAGTGACATTTTCTCGATCGAGACTTTGTGAGTGAATGACGGAGCGTTCCATCAGTGCGAGTCTTGGAGCAACCTGGAGCAACCGGGCCATGGCACGGAGAAAGCAACGACGACGACGCACGCATCGACTGGTGAGTAAATTCTATCCTTGTATTCGTAACTGGTATTTCATTCATTCCGTTCCGCGTCTAAATGCGTGCACTGCGTGCACACGAATTATAAATAACAGAAGGTGGGATACGGTTTGACGATTCGAATTCGGTAGTCGACGAATATTCTCATCGAAAATTCAAACTGTACCTGAAATTCAATTATTTCGTGTACGTATATTTCGAAATCGCATCTGACTAAAACTATTGTATTTTCTGTTTCTAAATCGGCTTAATATAAAAGTAATTGTGCATAAAATATTTAAATTGATATTAATATTAAATATTAACTATTCAATTAAATATGAAATATTTAAATGATTTTAATGCATACATTTGCCTATATAATAAAACCTAAACTGGACTAAATATTAATGAAGTAAATTATTTTCTGTAATAATATATCTATAAGGTTAAAGTGTACAGCGATAGTAATTATGATAATTGCTACCGGAAATTTAATATCACCAACACACACACAATAAATCCAACAAGCTTAATGCTTGGCGCAAATCATAAATTAACGCATTTTCGCTGATGAGAATAATTATTTAATGTTATGTTACGTCGCAATTTCCAAACACACTTTTTCGTTACTTTTTGCACTTTGTCTTTCTTCTTTTGCTTTTTCACGGAAATGGGAATAGGATTCTATACGACCAGTCAAATAATCGGTAACGAGACAGCGATCTCTCCATTCGACCCTAAGTAACTCGGATTCTTGAAATAACGAGGTTCGAGGGGACGTGCGACCGTAGAAAAGTGGGTAATCTTCGTCCTCGTCGTCATCGTGCGAATGTCGTCCACACGTACGTGGCGGAACGGGGAACACGCAGAGTCTCGTAATAATATCCGCCCGAACAGGACCCGCAGGGCGCACCCTTTTCCTCGTGCTTCTTCTGATCCGAACAATCATCGTCTCTCTCTCCGGGACGTCATCCTCGGATGATCCTACCGGGCTTCCCTCGTCGATTCATGCAACCGACAACGAGGCCAATCGCGTTTTAACATCCCTGCTCGCGCCTTTACAACATGCTTGTATGATTAACTTCCAGATACGGAAATAGTGATCCTTTATAGTTAATAATTTTTAATAATATTTTATACCAGGAACCATATACCAAAAACGTAGTAATAAAATGTTAAAAGAAACTCTCTTATTACGATTAAGTTTTTATGAATTAAAAAAAGCATAAGAAATACTTTTGTATAAAATTATTTTGCGACATTATTTGCTATTTTGAAGATCGGAAGTTGTAGTTTTATTCTAGCCGTTTCTTTGTTACCTTCATCTCCTTCTTCGTATCTTTCGTCACTGTCCCGTACCGATCTTTCTCTGTTTCTCTTACTGTTTCTCTCTCTCTCACTAAATCTGAACGACTGATTATGTCAGGCGGAGTTAAGACCGCGTTTGTTTATCTGATTTAACGTTATAACGGCAGGCGGTGAGACAAGCTACCGTAGAACGTCGTGGTGGTATTTCGTGTAACTAAGATTGAGCAGGAGAAAGAGAGAAACGGAAATAGAGGCAGCAGGAGAGACAGCAAAGGACATGGGACGAAAGAGCGGGGAATGGAGGAGAGATATCCAAGACGCTCTGTCGCCGGAGGCGAAGACGGCCCTCCTTCGAAGAGCAGTTTAGTTACGATGAATGGACCGAATGAATCACGCGGACCAATTAAGGATTACAGTAGGCGACGCTCCACCATCACCGGTCCCGCTTTGGAGTCGATACCAGAGGTGCGAGGACCAAAGGTATCCCCAACACGGGGGGTGGGGCAAACCGAGTTTCTTCATGCTTGCTTAGCCTTCGCTGGCTTGCACTTAATTGGAACTTAAGTATACTTTCCGGGCGCTACATTCCGTCGCTTTCCGGGGTTATATCGAACTGAGAATTTCCTCAGATTAGAGACAAGGACAATTTTAAGCAAAGTACCGGAACGTTAAAATTTCTAAAACCCTCTTATTCCAATTAAGAGCACTGATCTCTTTTAGTAGTTAAGTAAATTTTTTTCTTTATTTGCTTCCTTATAGAAAGGAAAATAGATTATATAGCAAAAGAAATAGATAAAAGAACTGTTTTAATTATATCTCTCTTTATCTAGTATCTTTAGCATATGTATATAATAGCCACGACGATATGATGACTCATCGTCAGTATAATACAATTCTTAGAACGAGCGTTTATTTGCTTGCCTCACTAAAGGTCTTACGAAAACATTAAATGATATCACATTAATAATATTATTATTAATCAAATTCATGCGATTGTAGTTAAAAGAGAAGCGCGGAGAGATATATATTGTCAATTTATTTTGTGAGGTAACGCTATTGATCGGCAAACTATAAAAATTGACGAAAATTTTTTTTTCTGTCAAAAAGTCGTATCTCTTGTTAAATATACTATCTCAGAGCTATACCGTTTTCAGAGCTAGTTACGAATGTTCCTTATCGTAACGTTCGATATAAAAACAGATAATAGAACATTTCGAAATGAAATGGAATGAGCTGATTAATCATCATGTTTTTTTATCCGCGCGGATAGCACTCACTAAATTAATCGAGAACTTGTGAGATATTTAATGGCTGAAATAGCTCTGTAAGTCGCGCACGATTTTCTCATTGGTATATACAACTGTTAAGATATCTATTATTTTACCAAAATTTCAACATTTATTAGATTACGCAGCAACGTAAGCTTCATTTGCTCTAAATCTCTAAATTTTATTATATGAAAGTTTTAGATAAGATGAAAACAGAATAGCACATCGTGCAGGATATTAACACCGTGCTTTAATTTATAATAGTGGGTGCTATACGCGTTCACTTCGTAGTTCCAGAACCAATCTACCGTACGCGCGCGCGCGCGTATATCTGAGCCATCTACTAATTTATCTCCGACAGCGCCAACCGAGCTACGTTACCACCTCTTTCTTCTATCGTTAACGAGATCATAGACAGCACGTCACGCACTTGCAACATCGATAGGTTTCACATGAGATTTTTTTCCGGGGGTCTTAATCACCGGATAGATATACCGCGTAATTCCAATTTCGCACATGTCGAAAGAACCCGTTGCGCTTGTCCGAAGTCCTGGAACGCTCCCAAAGAAATCCTTCTTTCGTGAGGTCCAAACGATCACTCGGATATTTTTGTGCCGTTGCCAGATTCGTTTCGAAACTCGCGATTCAGCATCTCTTCTAAGCTAGCAGGACCAAATTGGCAGAATCAAACCGGACCTATCAGAATATTTAGTACCCATTTTGTACTATTTTGTACCACTAATAACAATTTTGTATCCTGTACCATTTCGGAGAAAATCGTGGCGGTGCTACCTTAGCATTAAGCTAGAAAGACCACAAGAAAAAAAAAAGAAAATTAAATACAAAAATTTGAAGGACTGAATTTGTACTAATTTGTACCATACAAATAAACTTAATATATTCATCCCTTCTGCTTCAAACAGCTCCTAATAGAACTCAGTCCTATTAGTCTCAAGAGTAAAGTACTCGTTCTCATCAGCAGAATCAATTGCTACTTGTAAACTCGATTCAGGATAATTTGTATCACAAAAATATGAAGTTTCAAATTTTGTACCCTAGCCGTTTGATGGAAAACTACCCCCGATCCCTAACAGTCTCAAGAGTGAAGTACTCTTTCTTTTTATTTTAGTGTTCAAAATTTAGTAAACAATATTTAGTCGTAAAATAATTTTATTTATTTTAAGTACAGTTCTCTCTTAAGCCAGGAAGATGGGATGGTTTTCTTGCAAAGGGGTTGTAGCTCAATAATCAAAATGCGCGTATTTTAAGAGTTTATTCTTAGAGTTTATACGCTATACGAATTATATCCGCGATACGATATATTTAAATTTTTCTCAACATTTTTCTCTTGAGTTGAATCAATTAAAGGGTTGTTTCGGGGTTAAATTTTTATTTCAACGTGTACCTCCAATTTTTGGCGACACATGCTTAAGAGTACATTATGCGGTAAGCATGTATCGCCAAAAATTGGAGATACGTAATGTACTTCCTGACTTCGAGGTACCATCTTCCCTTCTATTTTTGGTGGTAATTATGTCCCTCGTAATTACGTAGGGTTTTTATTTCAACGTGTACCTCCAATTTTTGGCGACACATGCTTAAGAGTGTATTAGAATAATTTAGATAAATGATATTATTGTAATTTTCTATTTTTTAAGTTATCATTTGAGTTTTTGAAAACCACTTTTGCCATTGGTCATAAACTTGGGTCAAATTATATTATTTCGAAAAAATAAAATGTAATGATCGCAAGCTATCAGTCAGATTTAGATAAAAGCACAGAAAATCTGAACTGCTTCGTGTTCGCCAAATACTGGGAAGACGAGAAGAAAAGACTGTGCAAAAAATCAAAACCAGCGCCGTAAAACGCGACGTCGTTTTCTCTCGAAAAAATATGCGGCGTCCCGTCGAACCAACGTCGAATTTTTTCGACAAAACCGTCTCGTAAAATTTTATTTCGCGCTCGTCATCAGAATCATTCGATCGGAATAATCGTACTTTGCACTTGTGAAAGTATAACGTGTTTGTGAAATTTAGAAGTGCCATGTGAGATCGATGGACTGTCGTAAGTGACAACATCAGGAATATGGTTAGCCGTGTGGTGTTGAAGCAGTGGCGGAACCAACCGACTGCGACGAAACAACGGCTGGTGAGTAAATTTTTTTTATTACATTATATAATTAATTGTTTGCATATTTAATATTTTGATACCATTACATCATAATAATCGGAATTGATTGGTGAATAACTAGAATTATTAAATAAATAATTTTATAAAATATTTTATTTGTGTTGCATCGTGTAAATCAAGTTATGAAAATAATTAAAAATAATTAAAATAATGAAAACGCATTGTCTCTGAAACAAAAACCGTATGGAAATTTTGTAAAACCAATAGGACTGGAATCGAAACCGGTACCGTTAAAAATCATTACATCTTAAAAAAATTAAGTCCCGAAGATGAAAACATAGAAAACAATGAAGTAACATCTATACGTCGAAATATCATCACTTATTATATAAACAATTCAATTTAATAAAAATTTCATTAAGAAAATTTTAATAAATCGGAACCAAAAAAACTAATTTGCGTAATACCGATACTTTTATTAGCTACAAAACCGAAATCGAAAACGAAACCTTTATAAATAAGTATTTTAATGGACCGAAACCGGAACCGAACCGATATTTTCGTTCGGTTTAGGTCCTAGAAATATATAAAGGGAAAGGGAGGGTGGGTGTTAATTTGTGAGGTCGCACAATGGCCAGGTGTTTCTTTTATGGGAATAGAGAATATGTAAAAATTTGGGTACGTTCCTTAAAAACGCCCTTTAAGGCCCCTTGGGGCAAATAAAGTACCGATTCTAAATATAAATCTAAATGTAAATAATTTAATTTAATACAAATTTCAAATAAACAAATTTTTTTAAATCAATACCGAAAAGACTGTATAATTTGCCCAATTCCGATACTTTTGTTAGCTAGAAAACCGAAACCTTTATTCAGTATTGAATGGCATCTATTCGTATATCATTGAGCATTACCCGTACTATAGAACCGCGGATAAAAAAAGCTGACAATGTTCTGTACGGAACATATTGAGTCAAAAATTCATTAAAATAAAGAAAAAAAAGTTGGGGAAAGGTTTCTTCTGGAAAAGATACATTCAGACGATTTTTGAAAATGGAGGTGCCAACTTTACAGTGGCACACGCAGTATGCATATGTAAATAATTTAATTTAATAAAAATTTCAAGAAAATTTTAACAAAACGGAACCGGAAAAAAACTGTAAGTTGCGCATATATTATAATCTATTGCCTTGAAAAGGATATAGGATCGGAAATGGATAGATTCTACTAGAGCCTAAAAAATATTTTTGTAATTTATGTAAATAAAAGTGGTCAGCCACTTCCCTCCCCTCCTCATCACTCAGGACTACTAATTGTCAAAATACAAAATATATGTGAAAAATAGATCTATAATTTTAAATTAAAGTCCATTAATGATTTACACATAATTATTGATACAATTATTATCATAATTACGTATTAAAAGTAAATCATTAAATAAAAAGCTGATAATATGTAAATAATTTAATTTAATACAAATTTCAAATAAAAAAATTTTAATAAACCGGAACCGAAATGACTGTAATTTGCGCAATATCGATACTTTTGTTAGCTAGAAAACTGAAACAGAAACCGAAATCTTTATTAAGTATTTTAATGGACCGAAACCGGAACCGAACCGATATTTTACTGGCTGCATGGATTGGTGGAAAATTTAAACCATGAGCACTAAATATAAACAAAAAGGTATATTTCCGAGCGTTTACAACAATAGCTTCCTAACAATAGCTACACGTAGTTGTCCAAAAAAGTTCGCACGAGAAGTTTAGTCTAACTAACTATTAATATAACTATTATTAATATAACATGCCGATTTTATGATCCATCACCATCACCCTATTATAAAAAAGTTACTCACCGACCGATGCGCAACGGGCGGAGTTAGTCAGCCACGTATAGCTCCGATAATTCTGTAACACAAAAATGAAATATTCATATTAAATAGACGCTCAAAATAATCAATGTTTAAAAAAATAATTTTTACACACTTCTACGTCGTCTTTTAATTAGATTTACTAATATATAATTTATCTACTTATTTCCTGAGAAAAACCTTTATGAGAATAAACTTTTATAAAATTTTAGATAAACATTCGGTTTCTCAAATTATTTCTTGCTTATCCGAGATAAATCGACGCGAATAAATAGAAAAGAACTATTAATTTTAAAAATAAGAACGAACGCTTACCCCAAGGTTGCTCCGTCGGGGCCCGATGCCTCCCAGGCCTCCTCCTCCTCTCCACGATTCGCCAGGTCCTTCTCCGTTGGCCGGTTGGCGCACTCACTACTCACTCACCACGTTCACGAAAATCGACGATAAGATCGCGTCGGTTATGATCGCGCGATATTTTCGACCCTTCGCACGACACTCCCGGCATTAATCTCGCGACGCGGCGCG